GCATGACATCCTTCTCCAGGGAATGGTCCCTTCTTACAACATGACCAAAATAGGTGAGACGAAGTCTGGCCATTCTTGCTTCCAAGGAGCATTCTGGCTGTACTTCCTCCAGGACAGATCTGTTAGTTCTTTTAGCAGTCCATGGTAAAAGTCCATGGAAAAAAGAGGATAGTGGGAAAAAATAAAATAAAATAGTCTAAATGTGATTTTGGTGGTATTGGTGGACTGGGTATGATTTCCTCTCACTAGTCAGTATTGTGGTCCACACCCACATGCAGCTCCTCTTTGATTAGGCTGGTACATCTTCCCTTTTGGGATTGACTGGAGGCAGGAGAGCAGGCTTTTTCCCTGAAATTGGGTAACAGGTAATGAGTGGTCAAGGTACCTCTACTGCTCTTGTGGGACCATAATGTCCTTCCATGTTGGTGCTAGCAGTTATTCTGTCTTCTGTGGGTCAGGGCAGGGCATCTCCATAGCTGCTATAAGGAAGTGTGAGGGAGCCAAATAGATGGGATAGGCCCGTTGTGTGTGCAAAAGTTGACATTTCAGTAGGTGGTTGTAGATCAAGGGGTTTCAGTGAATGTACAGTTGGCCTGAAGGAACTCTGTAGTTGTGGGATGTATGATATTGAAGCCAGGAAAAGATTGGATAAGGGTACTAGGATATCTTGCCCATCATTTGGCAGAGGTGCAGGTGGCACCTTGCTTAACTCCAGGGTTGTCTACATAGAATCCCTGTCCCCTATTGGGAAATATGTGGTTTCCTCCCCATGCTCCTCACTTGAGAATGCTACTTGCTTTGTTTGAAGATAGCCACACTGTGCCAGGCCAGCTGGCAGGGCCCCACACTACATCAACTTCCTTGTTTTCTGTTTTCATTCCTTTTCTCCTTCCATTTGGTGTTTGATCTAATTCTTTATTCTTCTGTTTGGTGCTCAGGGTTCCAAGATTGTCACCTGTATCTGTTTCACTTGGTTTCTTGGGTCATTCTATAGGGGGATGGCATGGTTTGACTGATTAAGACACAATCTTCAGCTGTCTTTGTACATCATTTATTTGGTTGAATATAGATATAGTGATTAACTGGTATTTGCTACAATGTACCAAAAACCCTGAAAACTTCTCCTTAATCTCTAAACACACTAGTTACAGTCAGAGAGATATTTCCTTTCTGAGAGTGTCATAGGGAAACAAAACAGATCCACAAAACTCGAGATTCATACCTCCATCTCTCATTTGTCCTGACACATGCTCATTGCATGAAAATGGCTCCAGAACTATCTTGATTGACTCACCATACCCACTAGGGAGAGGAAATCTTTTGCAGTTTTTTTTCTACAAAGGAGATATAATGTAATTTTGATCATTTAATACATATGTGACACTACTCAAATATACTTGGCTTGTAAGATACTGGTTGGACGATTGCCACACTTCTTCCCCCCACAACCAATCCACTATACCTGCTCTCCTCCCTGACTCTGCCACTTACAGCCTATCACCATGCCCTGACATCCTTTACTCATTGGGTTCCACTTTGCATTACCCAGTCTCATGTGGGAGCTATTTCCCCATGGCTTTCCACGTATATTATGTGCTGGGTTTCTAACAGTCAATCTAAGTACTGAGCACACAGCTGAAGCACGTCTCCAACTCCTCACCCTTAGCACTCACATAACTAGTGCTCATATCTCATGTCAAGGTGCTCGTATTTCATGCTGAGGATCCTGTTTTCTTGGTTCTAGTCGTGTTTCTGGGCCTGTACCCGACTCTCATAGTGAGTATGAAGTTGTGTCCATATCCTGGTGGCAACAAAGCTAATGCTGATGCTCCTCATTGACAGAGTTGGGTAAGCAGAGGACAGCACGTGAGAAAA